CATCACCAAACAGAATGTTAAACTTCTAACTAGCTAAGGTGTAGAACTTTCCTAAGGAAACATACTGCATTTATTTTGAAAGTTTCAAAGGCTTATTTATTATTTAGTCACTCATTTTTAATAGCAAGTACCTCAGAATCTGGTATGAGAAAAAGAGAAGTGAATAGAATTTACTACTAGTATAAGTTCAATTTACCAATAATCTAAGTTCATCATTAGAGATTTATATAAGAAATAAAGTTAATTTAACATAGAAATGATTATTATTTATTTTAAATTTAAATAAAATTTCAAACATTGGTTTATATTCTGAAAGTACTTATTTCCTTAACAAAAGTAATCAAAATTAGATAGGGCATTTTGTAGAAGAGAAATCTCACAATATTCCTTTACCTTTAAATTAATATCTGTTTGGGTGGGTGGGGAGGTGGGGAGGATCTGGGAGGAGTAGGGGGAGGTGAAAAGCATGATCAAGAATATACTGTATGAAAACCTACTAAAAGTAAGTTCATTTATGTTATCCTGTCACAGGGTAGCATCTGAACTTTTTTCAGAAATAAAATTTCTTATTTTCATAGCCTAGTATCAATTGCTATTTTGTATTTAATTGCTTTGTAAACATACTAGTTCCTTACTGGAACTATTCTTCACCTTAATTAAATTACATCAACAGATGTGAAAAAATATACCATATTTACATTAAGCAAAAAATGAAAAGCAAAGAGAAATCATGCCTAGAGATGAGAACCTAAAATGAAGCTAATATCTAAAATAGGTACAACTATTAACTACTTCAATTTTATGTTTCTAACAAGCAATACATAGGGGAAATTAAATACAAGTGTTTTGATACAATAAGAGATTATTCTGGAAAAACTGCACAAAGAGAAAATCACAACACACACACTGACCTCAATAAAAGCCAGGAAGTAAACACATGAAGAACCCATAAAAGCAGGTCAAAGTTTAATTAAGAAAATTCAACAGTTCAGGAGGAACCGCCATTGCTGCAGAAAATTCACTGCCAAAGAAATAGCAACTCCAAGGAAATAAAAATATAGGACATAAAAGGTCTTCTTGTTTTCCTTAATAAATAAAACAACACGTACAGCTAATTAGTAGCCCCGAGTTCCACAGGAAAGAGGACAATACAATTGACAAGGTCTCAGGGAACGAGAATTGACAGTAACTACCAGATCCAAAAAGAACATGGACCTTTGGTATCAGATTTGTTCAAATTCAGCACTCAAAATGTTTTAGAATCTGCAACCCACAGTTTCACCTATTAGAAAATTATGATTAAATGAAATATGGGTTTGGTATATCTTATAAAGAATGCTTTGGAGCAGAATGTATTTTGGATTATGGATTTTTTTGTTGTAGAAAATTTGCACATATATGATGGAACAACTTGGGAATGTGATTCAAGTGTAGACACCAAGTTCATGTGTGTCTTATATATACCTTATATGGCAATTTTATTTTTTTTTATTTATTTTTTTAAGATTTATTTATTTATTATGTATACAGTGTTCTGCCTGCGTGGTTGCTGGGAATTGAACTTGTGACCTCTGGAAGAACAACCAGTGCTCTTAAAACCTGAGCTGTCTCTCCAGCCCCCGGCAATTTTACTTTATTTCAGATACTCTTTCTGCAAAAAAGTTATATACACCAAACCATTAGAAAATAATGGTGTCAATATTTTAGCAACTCACAAGGACAATCATTGCTTACTCTAAATGTATGTGATAACAGAAAGCAGCCATTGTCCTGTAGTTATTCACCTAAGTACAATAGTAAAAGGAAGATATACTATTGACACACTAGAAACAGATGTTCACTGACACAATTAGCATCATCAAAATACATATATATCAGCTTTTATATAGTAGCAGCAATAACCAAATACAGACTTTTGGTCTTTACCTATGATGTGTCATGATTAAAGGTTATTGCAAAAGATGTCTTATTGTTTTAGCTAAGAAAAACGACGATCCTTTAATAAAGTTCCTCATGTTGTGGTGACACCCCAATCATAAAATTATTTCCAGTGCCACTTAATAACTGTTAACTTGCTACAGTTATGAACTGTAATGTAAATATCTGTGTTTTCTGATAGTCATATGCAACCCCTGGCCACTTCGCCTGAAAGCGGTCGTGATTAGCACGTTGAGGGCCACTGGATTAGGCATAGTTACAGGATCAAGGAGTAGGTCCCCTAGGGATACTGGATACTTTTTTAAATGTTTATTTTTTAATGTTTCTTCCAGAGCCATCTACTCCATTAAAAACAGATTTTGTCTCAAAAGACTCTTCTTGATCTTATGAACTATTGCAATTTCTTGTTCTGTTATAAAAAAAAATAAAAAAAAAAGAACAGTTCTCTATTTCTTCAATAGGCCCATTATCTGTTTTCACTGTGTCAACAATAGGCACTTTCTCTGCTGTATTAAAAATGCCATCTTTGGCTGGGCAGTGGTGGCACATGCTTTTAATCCCAGCATTCAGGAGGCAGAGGCAGGCAGATCTCTGTCTCTGTGAGTTTGAGACCAGCCTGGTCTACAAAGCAAGTTCCAGGACAGCTAGCACTGTTACACAGAGAAACCCTGTCTTGAAAAATGAAAAAAAAGTCATCTTCGTTGTAACAATATTCATGATCATCTTGATTCATAACAATTTTGACAATTAAACTACCACCAATGAATGAACAACTAGAATATCAATGATGATATAATCTTTGGTATCTACTCCAATGAATATTTTCATTTGATCCTAAGCAGAACATTTATCATAACACATCTTTTCAATGTTCATGCTGAGTCTTGCTTTAAACTTCTGCAACTAGCTTAGGAAATACTCACAGTCCCATTTAAGTTTCAATTCATTGAGGCAGATCTGTCCTTGTTTCATCTCAATCAGCATATTAAGTGGAAGGTGCTACAATGTAGGGGGTTCACTATTTAAATACGGAACTGAGAGTTCCAGTTTTCAATTTCTGTGGTATTCTGTTCTGAATTTAAGCATAGTACTTCACCAGTTCATCCTTTTGTTTCTCTATGTCATACATAGTAATCATTCCGATACCAAATTCTTCTGTGAGAAGTTTCATACTTACTCTGCTGTCCAATTTCTTCAACAGTTTACTTTCTGTATTACAGATCAATATATCTTTATCTTTTTTCACTGCGACACAGATTATCTACAGACATTTTGGGGGTAATATTGGAGCTATATCTTTATAGTACAGAAGGAATAAACAAAATTAATAAAGAAATAAATGATGTGGTATTTAATGCACACAGGTCTTATGCAGAACCTGCAGCTGGCCCTCACATATGCCATTTCATTATCCTTTACAGGTATTCTTGCATTAGATACAAAAAATGATATATCAGAACTTTTGTTGAGGTCTGAGAGAGTCATCTTTTCCTTGGTGATCTTAGATTAGTTGTGTTGTGAGCCTGGATTTCAATGAGCCCCATCATATGAGGTCAGGGATGGAATTTTCCACTTACAGTATTGGTGGCTTCATATGTGTGGTCAAAAACCTTAGTTTTTGGAGCTGGTGAGATGGCTCAGTGGGGAAAAGGCATTTGCTGCCAAGCCTGATGACCCACATTTGAACTCTGGAACACATATTACAGGAGAGAACTGACTCCTATGAGTTTCCTCTGAACTCCGTGTGTGTGTGTGTGTGTGTGTGTGTGTGTGTGTGTGTGTGTGTGTTACATGTATATGTGCATACAAAAGTTTTATATTTTGAATGAACTTCAAGATAACTACTAAACCTGTAACATGCTTCCAGAATTTAAACTACTGCTTGGAATATGTGTGTGTGTGTGTGTGTGTGTGTGTGTGTGTGTATAATTAAATCATTATTTTTATTTAAATAACAATAAATATTAAATAAATATTTCCTTTCTGTTCTCCAGAACCTCTGGATAGTAGTACCTAAAAAGTGTTAGAGACAGTTATTTTTTTCTTCCTAGACTAACAGAGAAAAGAGTACATCAGTTGTTTATGGTGGATAAAGAAATGACAAAGGTCATCACTGCTACAGAATGAGGGGAAGAGCATTAACTCAGCATTGCTGCCATTCTGAGTTCATCTTTCCCCCATATATTTAGGCAAGATATTTTATATATGTCTTACTCCTGAAATATAACATTTTTGTGATTATTCAAATAATTATAAACAAAAAGAATAAAAATGTTAAGGCACATGGATCTTCATGAACAACCACATAATTACTGCAGAAGTGCCATGTTCTCCCAGCAGAAGTGAAGAAGGTATTTTAACATAGGTGAGAATTCATTAGAAAGATTTACAAAAAGTAAAAAAGCAATGTGTTCACTAACAACAGATAACTACTCATTTTGAGAGTATAATATAACCATACCTCACTTCTCATATTAAAATATCAGCAAACTTTCAGTGAGATTGCAAATTGTCCTCTGATTTTTCATGAATAATGTGGCATGTATTCATAGCTCCCTCATCATCAACAAAATAAATAAATGTAAAAAATATAAAGAAATTTATGGATTCAACAAATACTGACAAATTGCCATTTAGAAGTCTGGTTCTTGAGTATGAGATCAGAGCAAGGAAGTTTGATTTTCTTAGGAAATATTTCATCTGAATGAATATAGCAATAAATTATTCCCATTGTAGAAGAAAATACCTTGTTCTGATATATTTTTAAGTCATAAATTACTAAGAAAAGTTCTTTCCAATTCTGTTTCCAAGATGATTTTATTTTACTCAAATCTTGCCTCATATAATAATATTCAAATATTAAATCATTTTTTTCTATTAGCTAAAAACAAGATGACCATAACTAACATGTTTTGATTCTTTTATAGTTTTCCTAAAATGTATACTTAACTAATGTAGGTTAATAGATCTTTTTTTTATTATGGATTACTTTTTGGAAACCATAAATATTGTCTAAGTAAATATTGTCTATTGGAGATAAAAATATAAGTAAATCTACTTACCACATGAAGAATTTTATTCTCAGTTTCATATACTGTGCAATCCTGAAAACAAGAACACATATTCTGTTCAAATAATTATCCATTTTAAAGTATGTTTTTAGGAACTGTACTAAGAAAAAAATCTTGACATTTCAAGTAAAGACTGAACTAATGGGAGAACTCTGGAAATCTTACCTTTTTTGGTCAATTAGAACCAATGGCAATGTTAGAAGGTCAGTTATTTTGCCGTAAGTATATTTTCTAATTTGACTAACATTTTTTTGTATTTTTTATTTTATAATTTAATTTAATTTTCCATATCAGCCACGAATTCGCCTGTCCACCCTCCTCCCGCCCCCTGCCCTCTCCCCATCCCACCCCCTATTCCCGTCTCCTCAGGACAAGGACTAACTTTAAGCACACACAATAAAGGGCAATAGACGCTAAGACTACTTTTGAAACATTGAAAAAATTATTAAACATTTTTATCTAAAACTTTACCCATGACAAATGAATTTGTTAAAATATCTCCAAGATTTTAAACATTGATTTATTACAGGTTAGACCATTAAGAAAACATTAACATTTATTTTGACATTCATATCAAAATCTAATACCTTCATATTTTAACTACTCAAATTACCAAATCTACTTTATATTATGTATTTAAAAATAACAGGTTTATAGTTCTTACTTAAATTTGAATGTCTGAAATTGTAAAAAATTATTTTGAAAACTAACTACAATTTTATCTCTTGTTAACCAATAAGCCACAGTATGAAAAGATGTCTTCTGCTTAGAAACATATTGCTTGTCATTTTCTTCAAGAAGTTTGTAAACTGGCCATAGACATTATATGTATTAGTAGTGACCCAATAAGAGTGATCCGACAATTAAGTGAGAAAATGAGATAAACTTCTTGGCCCAGAGTCTGACACATAGGGAGTAATAAATATGCTGCAATATATGACTCTTGTTTGGCATCATTATTTTAATTAAAAAAATCTACTGCTTTTACTTAAAAAGATAAAATTAACAATTACTTGGTACATTACCCCAAAATCCATATTCCACTCTATTATATATTTCAAAGAATTTTGTTTTGTTTCCTCTAAAATTCATTTAAAAAAGAAGATCTACAACTTTTATAATATCATTTAAATATAGTACTTTGTTCAGGTAATCTTCAGGCACACATTCATAGCAGGCACATACTTATTAATCAGGGGCAATTTTTTTTTTTTTTATGAATCTTGTTATATTGCCCAGGCTTCTCTTAAACTTGTACTTTTCTGGTGTTTGAGTAGCTATAACTAAAGGTATATGTCACTGTACCTGGCATATTAGGAAAAAGATTTATGAGGAAAAGTTAGGTCAGATTTCAGAATCTAAGAGTAATACTTCGGATTGAGTCTAATATGCTAAAGGCAAAAAGCATGTCTACCAACAGAGTTACTTCCGTACCTGTATAGATTTAAACTAAGTAAACTCTTAATAATTAATTATGAATCATGTATACAGAGAAACCAACGTAAGGATAAGATATTATATAAGGAAAATTAACTTGGAATATGGTTGAAATTTGGAAGAATTTCATGCTGCAGAAATTATTTTTGAACACAACCGCATTGGGAAGAGATAATTTGGAAAATGCTGGGAGGTTGCCTGGACTCCTGATGCTGTTTTTTCAGCTTGCTTCAGTAGCAATGGATTTAAGTTCATCATTTATCTATCTTCCCCAAATCAAAGGCTATTATTAAACATTCAAACTTCAAAGAAAGGAAATATCATTTAAATGAATACTCTACTAGTGGTACAGTAATGAATATACCCTGCTAGCATCATAGTAATCATACAAAATATAATTTAACACAATATCTTATGTGGCTATAACACAAAGAACTGTTAAAATAATCTTGTTGTAAATAGCATTAATATGCTAAATCTGTTCTGTATGCTTTATAAGACAAGACGAAAAGTCATGTATCATTATGCTATACCTGCATCATTACTAATTATTATTTTAGCAGGGAAGAAAGCAGATATGTACATATTAAGGAAGTACAAAAAAACCCCTCATGCCCTCTTGATGTTTTATGTATGTATGCATGTATGTATGGACGTACATAAATACATCTTATCTCTACTCACTAAGAAGGCAGAGGAACAAAGATCAACTTGGAAATAATTAATTTTTCAGTTCTGTGGTCTAGTTATACCATTTCCCAGGCTTTCTTGGAAAATGACTAATTCCAAATCAGATTAGAAATATACATGATAAGAGTGGACTATATTTTGATTTAAGATAGAATGAAACTATCTAAGATGACTAGTATAGAGCTAGAAGTTAACATGAAGCGATTCCTACTTCCTAAACAGAATAATCTGAGTACGTAAGAAGATAATAGTGCAACGGATGGAAACACACTAAATACTATGGAATACTAATTATGTTAACGTGTCTAAGGTTTTAATATGAAATTTAAAATTACTAGTGCTGATAAAATATATTTCATAAAATAGTTTAGTGATATTATATATACTGAACTGACTAGACCAGGTAGGACAGCTGTCTTTTCCTCTTAAATGAGCAACTACTAATCTATTGTGCTAGGCACACAAAAATGAGTAAAATATGGTGTGATGGTTAAATTGCCAACTTGTCATGACCTAGAACTAACTGGCCAGAGAATTTTAAGTACAGTGTCTACATTTGGGTTGGCCTGAGGCTGAGTCCAGGGGGTTTGTCTTAAGTTAATACAGGAAGACCCAGTTTGCTGTGGTTGGTGCCATATCTTAGGCAAGGTTCCTGAATGATGTAAGAATGGAAACACTGAGCTGAGCACAAACAAGCAAGCGAAGAAATACATATGCATTCATTTCTCTGCTCTTCACTGTGAATTTGAGGTGGTCAGTGGATTGAAGTTTCTGTTTTGACTTCCTCACAATGATGGACTGTAGCTGGAATTATTAAATAATAAACCCTTTCCTCCTCTAAGTTACTTCATGTTCGAGTATTTTATTACAGCAACAGTATTGAAACCAAATCACATAGCATTTGCACAGATGTGCCAAAAAACTACACAGGAAGCGGCAGTTTTCATGACATTTAAAATTTAATGTCTTTAAAAGGATAAATGCCACACAGTTATGTGAAAGGGCGATTATTTATTTTTAAAAGTTAATACCCTTCTTATAAAATTTAATACAACTGGATTACAGTATTCCTTGTTTCAGACAAATTTCAAACTTGTAAAAATGTTCAGCAGCTGTGGTACAGTGCCTCAACTTATTACATTTATAATTGGAGATTTAATAGCATTTGGAAAATGAACTAGTGGTACATGTTCAATGATCCTGACGTAATCTTTTTAAAGTCTAAAGAAACAGATACATCAGATGACCAAGGCAGTTAAGATTTTCAACCAGAATAACAAAACATACACAAATGTTAGAATTAAGCTTACCATTTAAAATAAACATAGCTAAGTGATTTAAGTGAATTTTTTTAAAAAATGAATTTTCAATTGATATTTTGTAAGTTTTCAAGTGTAAAACCTTTAAACATTAAATCAAGATATTTGGGATTCTTTGATTAGTTTAACTGACACAATTTTAGTGCTCGAAGAGCAGAGAAGGAAGCTGACACATTCTACCTAAAAACCATTAGTAATGGTAGCTTTTAACTGGCGGCACAAATAAAGACATGTGCACAGGAGCGATGTATCTGCAGTCAAACACATTTAAGTTAATGCAATCAATTTCAAATTTCAGCTTTCCATATAAGAATTATTCGCCCCAGCTCCCAGCCTGCCCCCGACAACTTCCGTTCTGGACCAGAGGTGAGTGCCTGGGTCCAGCCCGGACCCCATCCCTGGCCACCAGCCACCCCGGGAGGACCTGCCCAGCTTGGCGCCGGGTTCTGGCCACC